CATTCGCAAGACCGAAAAAGAAGCTTCATAAAAGACCCTACATTCGGGTATATTTTTTTGCATCCATCTGTCCATCCATGTGAATGTGTGTTCGGACGATATTCCCGGTCTAAAAATCTAAAATATCAAGTTCTAATTTGGCAAAAACATTGCACGTTCTTGTAGGCCAATTTGGTGAAAGCGCACGCATACACTGCAAAATGAACTATGAACTCATTACTCATGATACATAGTACACAATAAATATAGATGAAAGTATCCCATACCCCACTCAATCTTATATATAGAGTATCAAACTTTAAATTTTTCGTTTCTTTTATCAAGTTGAATGTGATGGATGAAAAAAAAGTTTGGTCTCAATCGAATATAAATTTCTTACTTGTTCTACTTTGTTTCGTTTGTCTACAAAGTGCATGCATTCCATAATAATAAGAAAATATATATTGTGTAACGTTAACAGCCCTTTATGATTTTCACGTGTTTATCCGACTTTTCAGATAACACGGAATTGGACTGCTTTTTAGTGTAGGCTTTATATATAGAAAAACTTATACCTATAATGCTTTATTGCTCATTCTCAATTCGTATAATGCAATTCAACTTTCTTGACTCGACTAACTGCCTTGCACAATTACTCCTCTTATATACCCTTTTAGAAGCAAGTTACCCTTACCTAGCTTGATTGTGACATTTTTGTGTTAATTGTTCGTTTGCAAAATACTCTGCTAATTGTTGTTAATCTTTTCGCCAGTCATCAGCTGTACACGGTAGGTAAAGCGTCATAAATGTGTATTTGATTTCACGATTTTTTGGTATTTGGAAAATCGATTAGTTTTCATGGAAACTCAAATCAGTATATTTTCCATTACTAATCTCAATTTTTTTTTTTTTTTTTTTTTTTTTTTTTGATATGAGCCGTTCATTTTGAAAGTGGAGCAAGTCCAACTTCTGTTACTGCCAGATTTTAAAAGGTTGCATTTCAATAAATTGAAGTAAATACAAGTAAAATCACTATAGTAGGCTACATCGCAACATTACATACCCAAACAGCGCTCTACAGTTATTCGTATATGCTCTTCTCCAAATAAGACGTTATGTGAGAAGTAGCGTTCGTCCTTGGGCCAAAATACGTCAATGCGCCAAATTTCATTAAAAAAAATATCTCAAAAAATTGAAGAGATGGACACATGGACAGATGGACCGGCAAATTTAGACCAATTCGGAAAGTGACTTTGAATCGATCGCTAAATCGATTCGTTTCGAGTGTTGTTTTAAAAAAAGACCGTTAGCAAGGGTACTTGAAACATTATAGTCGCCCACCATTAATGGTTATTTTCAAAATAAGGCATTATTTGGTTGAAAGTGATCGAAGAATTGGTCCGATCCAAACCATTTTGAATAGCGTTGGTCTTTTGGCCATAAGCTCATATCGATTCAGAAATTGGCCCTGAATCGATCGGTATCGATAAACCTATCTCAACTCCTTCTGGATGTTGAATACATCCGCACAAGTTTAATATCCCCCTGTACCACAAGTCGTGTGGGGTTGGTGGCGGGGGGGTACAAAAAAAGATCAACAGAAGGAGTACTTGAGAAAACGAGGAAAGAAATCTTGAAAACTTAAACACATATATGCAAACATACGTTGCTGTTATTTTGCCGCAATATATATCGAGTATACCTGGTATTTAAATTTACTTATTAGCGGATATACAAGCTTATGATGCGTTTATATGAACGTATGTGAAATTAATCTTGTTTATAAATGTTGGGTTTTGTGTCTGCAATTAGTGCCTGCAGCGGTTTTGCGCAAATGCACATAAACATAATTAATTTTATGCGGCTGCTTATAAACTCTAAAGAAAGTTTGTATTATGCGTCTCTTACATATAGGAAAAAAAAATCTGAAATGTTATGAAGGTCTTATTGAGGTTTTTTAACTTTCATTTCTATTTGAAAAAACATGTTACACTTTTCTGCGTTTGTTGTTGTTTTTCGCTGTATAATGTAAAAACTTTTATGCTCGCATACGTGGCGACAGCAAATTTCTTTGGTAAATTTTTGCAAAAAATCTTGTACAAAATGATTAATTTCCAAGTCTCTGAATTGCTTATGGAAGAAATTGAGTGAGCGTATCTGAGGAAAATGTAAAATTTTCAAAAAAAGAAAAAACAACCCAAGTCGAAATTCGTGCAATTATTGATTCATTTACTTGTTTACTTCGTATTCGCTCACTGTGATAATTGGGTACTAAGCTAGTTAATAATGAGTGCATCTGCTTTAAATTTGACATCAAATCAAGAGGATTTTATTCATTACGTGTTCGTTAACTTGGACATATTAAAGTAAAAAGTTGGCTAAACTAGATGCACATCTCAACGGCTAGTTGAAGTTTGCGTCAATTGCAGCATACAACTTGATGGGCATTTGACAAAATGTCTTACATTGCATATTATTCGCAATTTGGACATGAAAACAAACTGCTTGGGATACCTGCGGCTTCTTCTATAAAATGAAGCGAACAATTCAAATCTCCGTTATCTTCAACGAAAAAACGAAACAGTTAAGTCTAAAATAATTTTTTTTCACGCTCATTATTCGCCAAGGTATTATTTCCTCCTTTCAAACAAGAAAAAACGGCTCGGTGCTATCAGATTTTTTCAACAATGAAGAAATTGAGTCTATACTTATTTATGGCTATGTTTAGCTCGAGGCGCTCGAAGATTCTAGCTAGAAAGCAGAAAAATGTTAAACATCGCAAAGGATATTCTAAGAATCATCCAAAACCTGTATGGAGTAAGACGTGAATATGTGTCTCCCGTCGCCAAAAATTCAATAAAGGATTGCCGTTTATCGTGAATAAAATGCAAGTCACAAATGATGAATGATGAATGTAACTGGGATATTGAATACCCGATGGAAATAGCATTCCGACATTATCAATTAAGCAAACGCAGACAGATGTCTTCTGTTATTAATAATTGAAGCGAGACGTTCAAGTTTCCGCTTATAGGCAAACTCTAAGGAAAGTTATTGGTATCTACCTCCACTACTTCTGAGGTGTCCAAACGAGGTCATAAACCCTTCCTAGCCGTCCGAACGGATATAAAGAAGAAGAAAAAACGCTGAATTTCAACTGTTTTGTGAAGCGGAAAAAATGTCAACTCAGCCTGTTGCCATGCTCCCAGCCCACTGCTGCATTTTACATCCACAATAATCAGTTTGCGCTTAGTAAAGCGACTGACTGCACACAAAAAAAGTCGTCTTGAAAAAGGAGAAAGTTTTTTTCATATGCCACTTAATCTCTATATAGGAAGTCTCCTATCGCGGGAATCTAAACGCAACGACGTCTGGAAGATCTCCTAGTTTATTTATGTTCTTGGTTAGCCTGAAATTTTCAGAAAATTAATTGATAATGTTTCTATTTGCAACCGTTCAACGAGTTCAAATCCGTCGTGGTTTTATGTATCTACGCAAGTTAATTTTGTCCAATCTGCATACAAAACTTGTTATTATTATTTACTCCATATAAGCCAACAACTACTAGTTCATAAACGTTATCGTGCAAGGCTTATTCAGCTTTGAATCGAACATTTTCGTCTTCAGTAATATCGTCTCCAGGATATCTACGGATGAGCTTCCATTCGATTCTTTTAGGGCTTTTTCAGTTGTAATCGTGCAAGCATTTAAATTCAATAACGCACACTTATGTAGGTATTCTCATAAAAAAAGGAAGGTAGCAATTGTAAATCGAAAGAAACGCTCTTGATCTGTGGCGTTACAAAAAAGGGGGTCATTCCAAAGATCGTCCATCGTAGCTATTATAACTTCTTTGCTCCATTTCTCGGGGGGATGAAGAGAAAAAAAAAACGCTTCACAAATGTAGCATAAAGAAGTGTTGCAATGTAAGGTCACAACATAGCCCCGATCGTTAGGGTCGCAACTAATGAGACAACCCGTTACGTCTGCGAAGGTGTTGGATATAACAATGTCGATTGAAGGCAAATGTACATTTTTTTTTCTTTTTTTGTTTCACTTTCTTTAAACATTGTATGGTGAAAAAACCAATTTTTCAATTGATTTCATTTCAATGAAAAGTGAAAAAAAAAGAATTCAATTTAATTTTTGCAATGAATTCTATTTGAATGGGGGAAAAATATATATATAAAGAGCAATGCTAACGACCAAAACAACGTTAAAAGCAAGCAATTAAGTTAACAAAACCTAACACATAGAAATAAACTAGTAGAAAAACAAATATCGAGCAAAAAAACTATATAAAGTATTTTAAAGCGTTTTTATTGTTAAGCAAAAATAAAAAAAAAACATTTTTTTTTAAATTTAAAACGGAAAAAAAATAAAAAAAAATCATTTCAAACTGCCTTAAATATTATGCAAAATTAATTCCTTTTATATATATATATATATAAATGCAAATAAAATTCACACATAATATTTAAATAAATTAAAACAAAAATTTAACTTTATTCACAAAACAAAGAAAATAATAATAATAAAAAAAAAAGGAAAAACAAACAGCAAATATATTAAAATAAAGTATAACAGCCGGATACAAATTATAACGAGCGTTATATAAGAAAACAAAAAGAGAAACGAAAATAATAAAAGAAATAAATGACCAATAAATTTATATACAAAGTACTTGAAAGGTTTTTTCTACTAAGCAAGGGCAATGGAAAACTAAAAATATCGTCCAATTTTATTTAAATGCAATTAAATTAAATCCGAAAACTTCAGTTATATTCCCATACGAAAACTTACGTACTGTCCGTAAGTACTATGTAAATATATATATATATATACATATATACATATATACATAAATATATAAATATGTAAATATATACACATATAAATATATATATATATTTTTTTGTATATACATATTTTATATATTTTACATATATATATATATATATATATATATATATATATTTCATTTATTTCTCAACTACATTTCGACTGTTGTTGTCATTGACATAACCATATACATAAAAATACACAACAAATTGCCTGCGAATGGCAATGAATAACTTAACAAATAACGGTAACGGTGTCAATAGTATAATAACAATTTTAACAATAACAACAACAACAATCACAACAGCAGCAGAAGCAGCAGCAGCAATAATAGCAACAAGAAGGAGAGCGCCATTAACAATGCCATCATTACCAACAAATAGCAATAGTGCAAATGAAACAGTAATAATAGCAACATCAACAACAACAGGAGCCATACCATTATCCGCATTAGCAAATACTACAACGTTTACTACCTTTAACAATGACGGCCATTCAGCAACATTGCCCTCATCATCATCTTTGTCGACAATGGCCACTAATGCAACAATGTTAACAGCAACAACAACAACAACAACAACAACAAGCAATCAACAACCATCACCATCACTATCAATACCAATGACAACGTCAAATACGGTTGTAGTTGTAGGTAGTGGTGGTGGTTCCTCGTCTTTGGCCGTCAACATGAGTAATGGTAATTTATTAAATGGCGCCGCGGGCCAAATAAATTCTAGTGGAAATGGCGTTGATCTACCATTGTCCCATGGTCCAATTGTGCCTACTACTACGTTCGTCGGTGTTAGTCAATATCAGGCATCGTATAGTACAACGGGTATTGGTCCCCCGGCAACCTTGACATCAAATCTTTTGGGTTTTATGGGTGGCATTGGTATAGCTAGCAGCCAAGCAGCCGCTGCTGTCGCGGTGGCTGCTAATAATGCTGGAAACGCCGCTACTGGCTTTCATAATAATAATAATAATAACAACAATGATAACAACAACAATATGGACAATACAAGTGAAGATTCAAATCCCGTTACAATTTACAGGTAAAACAGAAGAATCATACGCTAAGTTGTGTATGTGCGTGTGCGTGCGTGCGGGTGCATGTGTGTGTATGCGTGTATGCACTTCAGTTATCGAAATGGTTGTTAGGAACATTTTTTATTTTGATGTTTTTTTTTTTTTTTTTTATTTAAATTTTTAAATAACATTTCTATGTACACCTACCGGCGGTTTGTGTCTTTGTTCAAGTTTTTATATTGTATATAATAATATATATAATAAATTAATTAAAATATATATGTTATATATAATAAATTAAATTATTTTAAGCGTAATAACATTCGGAGAGTAATTTTTCAATATTTTCACTTTAAACCTTTGAAGCAAAGAGATATTCTCATCATTTATTAATCCCATTAAGTAGTAAGCACTGACTATTTGACATATTGTGATTACTTTACATTTACTATACTATATTTGAAATCAATGTAATGAAATTTAAATACTACACGCGGTATGATCGCTTTACTTCGGATCAAATCGCAAAACTTCGGATCGCTGGTCAATTTTTCAAAATTTTAATAATACATGTCCACCAATAAGTTTAACATTTATTTACTTTTACTTAAATCGCTTCGTCCGCACCCGTTATTGGTAGGCTTTCGCAGCTTTAAGAACATTATATTCTAGCGAAGTAAATTAATGCCAAGAGATTTAAATCAATCTTTTCGTTTAGTTAGTCTACAGACCATGATCATCATTAATTTAAAATTTCACATATGTTTAGGTAAAACTTGAAATTCGCAAATGTGGTAGAAGATGTGCACCACCTGTTTATAACCCAATAGATGTCAGAGTGCGATATTTTTTTTAATTTTTTTTTTTTCTTTGCCCCGCATAAACAATAAAACCCAATTATATATCAATTATTTAAACAATTTGCAGCCTAAAAATGAAACACAATAAGTTTATTTAAAATTTAATGCGTTCCAGAGTTTTTTTTTTTTTAAATTTAATATATTTTTCCCAGCAATTTTTGAATCTATTTACCCTTCAAAATGTATATGTTTTTGCGGATACCCGATCGCTATTTAAAAGTGTTTTGGTCTGGTTTTGGTAAAAGTAACCCGCGCAATTTGATTATTATAAAACATTATAGTGGGATACGTCATTAAACATTTTACGCCACTTCGATTCATGTAACTACTTTTCAAAGTAAGATGTTATATGGAAAGTGAAAAGCTGACGAATAAGTGTTTGTCTCTGGGACAAAACATATCTAAATCAATTTAAAGTCGCTCGATGTAATAAGGAATGGATCCCTCTCAGGCCCATCTGTCCTGAAGTCCTTGCACCACAAGCGTAACAATCTTGTGCGCGCTGGTGTATTCTCTCGATGAAGAGTGATTTTTTTTTGTTTTTTTTTGCCAGAATTTATGGAGGTAATTGATTCAAAAAACTGGATGATTACTCTCTTACCGCAAAATTCAAAAGCTATAAATCAAGAACATATCCTTGGAAAAGAATTTCCTCGAAAACTAAATGCTATGCGGTAGCTCTCCTTCGGTTTACTAACACAATTTAGAATCATAGTCAAGATCGATTGAGCATCATTAGGAATTTTTGTAATATTGCTCAATACATAGTCACGTAGACAACCAGTTTATCAATCTTTAGGTCGACCAAATTCTTAAAAAAAGTTGAGCAATTTGCAATTAGGCCAGACACAAAAGTAAGTGCTAAGTGCTGCTGAAAAGAAACGCAATCAAAAAAGGCCCATAAAAATTATTTGGTTCAGTTTTACGTAACCAAAGATCCCAGATATCTATGGTGATGGCATAGTGGTTATACTGGAGGAATGGCAAGAGACTATAAATTGAAATGGTACATGCTCGATTTAAAAAATTTCACTTAAAATATATTTGAATATTGTTGAAAGTACGTCACGAACTGTTTACTTAATGCACATCGTATACATGATATATATGCATTATCGTGCATTATATTATGTACGTGCACATAGGCGAGATGCGGAACGACGCTTTGATGTCGAAATTGCTTCGTTTCAATTCAGAACACACCGGGGCGACAGATGCCGATGGTAAAAAAATATAGCCGCCGAACGTGTTTGAAATAATAATAGCTTTACATTTTTCGTGTGTACTATTTAAAAACGAAAAAAAAAAAAAAAAATTTAGCAAAGGGCACATATACGCCTAAGCAAAAAGGAACATAAATATGCATAGCATAGACAGAGAAAATATGCTAAACTCTGATTCTTGCGGGACTTTATCGCATATCGGATAAAATATAATATGTAGTAAAGCACAAATTGTTGGCCTGCCGTGCAGATCGACTCTACCAAGTCTACCAAATAACAAACGACGGGCACCTTAGTCACTAGACTATTATAGAGAATAACTACAAATTTGAAATACTGACTAAAACTGACAGGTGCTACAACCTAATTCGTCGTACAAGGTAACTTTTATAATAAAAGTTGACTATAATTTTTATCAAAACATATTTATTTATAAAGGGAAGTATGTGTTGATTTTAAGTATTTTTAAAAAATAATTGAAATTTTATTACAAAACAATTTCATCGAAATGACATTTGTTTCATTAACACAGTTTATGTAAATTGTAAGAAAAATGTGTTTGAATATTGATAGAAAAAACAACAACGCCATGAACTTTGTGCTTTTTATCCACTATAATAATAGGTAAAATTGCCACTATTGACTACTATGCCATCAAAATAGTCAACAATTTTCGCATTAATCTGCTAACCGGGCGAAATTGTTTGATTGATAGATTTGAAATTTATGTTTTCACGTGAAAAACCCAAAAAATTGTCAACATTTTTACTGACACGATCCCTGTGTAAAACTTTGAAGTTTGAAAATTATAAAATAGCTACACCATCATTTTTGAAATGTAGATGACAATGTCTCGGACTACGCCATAGTGGAAAGTTCACTTTCAAGGCCTTAGGGCGCATTCCTGCCGTGTTTCATATGAAAGAGTTTAGCGTTAACGAAGCGGCGTGTATTCTTCTACTTTTATTTGTGTAGTTGAAAGAGTTCGGAAGTATTCACGTCTCCGGATTTGCTTTCGATAAGGCAAATAATAACAAAAACTTGAAATCTAACTGAACGTAATCGTTCTTTTCTTATACAATTGTTTCCTTTTTTGTTTTTTTTGTTGTTGTTGTAAAAGCTATGTAAAGAAAAAAAAAGGTGTCATTTTTTCCACTCTTTAAAGAGTCGCATATGTTACATATATTTCGCATATGAAATGGTTATGTAAATCAATTCCCTCAAGTGCGAAACAAACAGTTGGTTAATTGCTATAGAACAGGTGACATTTAGAATATATGCTAACATGGATAAACGTGGAAATTTTTTGTTTATAAATTATTCATAAACGTGTACAATTAATGAATACAAAAAAATCTTTACGTAACGTGTATATATATATGAAATACAAATTGCATAAGAGGGATTTCGATGCGCGTGTAAAACATATGTAGGCTTACATAATGACTTTCTTAAAGCATATTTTTCTTATTCGCTATTTGAACGCTGCGCGAAAACCCTAAGGGACAATGCAAAGATAGAAAAATATCTAGATTAACATTCGCAACTAATTAACTTCAAAGTAAGCCTTGTGCTAATAGCAAACCATGTAAAATTTTAATTGTGTGCATTGTTCTTAGAGTTTAACAATGACATCGTTCATTCATTCATTATTATTATTATCATTATTATTATTAATATTATTATTATTATTATTATTATAATTATCATAAAAAAGAGTAAATTTCTTTTTTTTCTTTTTTTCTTTTTTTTTAATTAATTACAATAACATTTTTTATAAATCTCAGCTCGGTTCGTTTTCGCTGTCATTTTAATTAACTCAATATATTTACATTTCCATAGCGTTTGTCATAAGAATGAAAGTGATCCCCCATGTACGTGTACATACGTATGTATGTAACTATTGTATAACTACAATGAGAAAAAGTTAATGTCATTAAATGCGAGTTTTTATTTTTTGCGGACGCACATATATACATACATACACATACGTACATACGGTCATTATCTCAACAAAGTTGAGGGCAATCTAATCACAATAACAACAATGAGCCCAACCCATAGGGAATTAGTTTCGCTTTCGTATTCGTATGTGCACAATGTAATTTACATAATAAATGTAACAATTTTGATCGCAACAAACTAGTAAACAAATATGGTAAGCTTTGCAGCGATTCTTGTAAGTCCATTATCAAAATGAAACAAGTAAGAAAACTAAATTCGGTCGAGACCGAATCTTTTCTACCCATTACCCTGCTTTACTCCAAAAAAGACGAAAGACTTAAACGAAAAAATCCTCTATAAAATGCTCTATAATGTAGACTGAGCGCAGTTGATTTCTTCTATTTTCAAAATAAAAGTTTTTGTCTTGGGGCCATGCGGGGTTGGAGACGTGTTCTTCGAAAAGTTTAATTTCAAATTCGTTTGAAAATTTGTAGGGGATGTCTTCACTTTTGTTAACACGAGAAGCCTTACCAAAACTACTATAAATTTGCGCAAACCGACAAATGGACAGACGAACAGGCGGACATGTTTAGTTGCATTCCAAATTTGAAACTGACCAAGAATTTGTATACTTTACGAAGTTTTGAAAGCTTTTTTCTGCCCGTTATAAAGTTGTTCAAAAAATAATTAAATTTTCATATACTGTAATATTGGACAGGCGCGGTCAATTTTTTCCATTTTTGTGCGAAAATGCTACAGTAACGCCCATAGAATATGCGTTCAAATTTTTGTACATTTATCAGCTCTAGTTTATGAGTAATGCGCAAAAAATCAATTTTTCATTCCTTTTCAAGGACAGAGGTGTTCTCAGGTTACGTGATGCTGTGGGCGTGTCCTTCGACCGAATTCACAGATTTTCAATACCAACCTGCGTGCAGGAAAATCCACTGTTTCTACTAAATTTGAAGTCGATAGCTTCATTTTTGCGGTCAACAGAACGTTTACAACAGCAATTATTTAGACGGACAGACGGACAGACTGACATGCTTAAATCGAATCAGAATTTGATGCTAATCAAGAATATGTATACTTTGTGGGGTCACTGATATTTCTTTCTGGGCGTTGCAAACGGTTTGACAAGATGAATATATCCCTCATCCTTCGGTGGGTATAAAAGTGTTAGAAAATCGAGTAAAAATTTTTTGCATTGATAAACAAAAAAAGACATAGTACGCAAATTTAATTTTTAATATCTCCAATACCCATAAAATGCTCTGCCCCAAATTTTAAATACCTACATAATACAACTTCAAATATCGCAGACATATATATATATATATATATATATAAGCAGACCGACTATAAATTATAGAATAGAATTGTCATTGTTTTCATTAACCATTTCTCAGTTCAATCCGAACTAGCACTGATTATTTGAAAATTTTAGGCCTTGCCATATACAATATCGTTCTTCTTCTTCCTTTTTACTTAGTACGATCCAATGTCAAGCATTCGTGTATAAAGCGTTCATGGCACATTTACAATCACTTGCGTCACTTGCTTGCTTGTTTGTATATACATATCTAGACATTCTATTAGTAAAGCAGCAAAAATTATTTCCAACTATTAGGTAAATACTTATTTCAAACCTAACTATGGAAAAGCATATATTTTATAAACACATGGTTTAAAGAAAGCCAAAAATGAAGCAATTTATTGATATCTCTGGTTTCCGCTTTAAGGAAAAGAAAAAAGCAGCAGATAATCAACGCTTTTTACATGTTCGAATCAAAGGTACTTCCAACCTATTCTGATGTGATCGTCTTAAAGACCGTCCGTGAGCACAAAATGAAATTGAAGTGTAATGCACTTGCAAGCCGTATTAGTTGAATGCCATGATAGCTCTAAATACTCAATGTCAAATTGAGGAGAGTATCAAAGAACTTTTCCTAATTTTTCTAATTTGTTTAGTGCCATCAGCCAATCTATATCGGCTCAATAGTTGTGAAAAATCTATAGCAAGAGACTAAAGGAAAAGGTCTGATTGAATCGAAAGGTTACTCGACTAATTGATCTATGATTAGCAATAATAATCGTCAGTTGACGTCATTAAGAGAAATCTATGTCTTTAAGGATTTCTTTCTAAGAGTATATAAAAAGTATATAAATAAATTTGGAGGTCTCTGGCAACGCATTCTAATCTCAAGGTGCACGGACAGTGCATTTTTTAATAAAGTTTCACCCGCCACAGGAAAGGTTTAAAAATCACCAAAATTCCTGCTACATATGCTGAGAGTATTTCTCACGTTTCACACGTTCTTCAAAAATATGAACGACAATCGCCTTTACAGTCTCGCGAGCAATGAAAGATACGAAGAACCTCTCTCAAACCAATCCATCAACGTAAAATAAAAAATATTAATCCGCGTCGGCAAAAACTCAATGCTCCGTGTTCAGTTTAACTAGAAACATGTGATTCATTAGGAGTTGGTAAAAGTTCATGAATCTCTCAATATTCAAGGCGGACAATTAAAAAAATTTTTTATATAAAAATTGGATTAACCGAAAAACGTCATGAATAAGTCCGTAGACCGAAATAAAGCAATTTTGTTTCACAACTATAGCCCTGCATGGTCAACAAAACCGCTTAAGAATAAGTTGAAAGCGTTGTCTGTTCAATATTTCGATAATTTTAAAGAAATTAAACGAGTAAGAAAATCGTATTCAGTTATGAGGAAACCTTTTATGCCCAACACCTTTGTTTCGAGAAAGACTAAAAAAATAGCAAAAATAAATAAATATAGATAAGCTTATAGATAATAAGCAAAAAATCCAGCAAGCAGAGGCCCTCTGAATTTATGTTGCACTCTAGTCTTGCCCTTTCTGAAACACCTACACCCATTCGCCCTGATTTCAATACCAATCTATCTGCGAACACATAATTTTTGGGACCGATAGAATGCTTCCCACAAACTTCATACAAGTGGTTAAATGAACAGGTGGACACACTTAAATCGATTCAAAATTTGGTGCTGGTCAACAATACGTATATTTACGGGCATTCTGAAGCCACCTTCTGGCTTTTGTAAATGTTTTGATGAAATAAATGCATCCCTCATCGCTCATCCGGTGGTAAGTATAAAAAGAAACAGTAAAGATGTAATTGTAAATATGGTAACCCTTAGTATTTCTCATTTTTGAACTGCTTAAGCTGTTCCGTTTGCTTTGGCTTAAATGAAGCTTCCTTCATGCAAGATTGATTTAATACTCCGTAGAAGTTTTGCTTATCGTGTTGTCTCTTCGAGCAACGAGAGATGACTTGTTGATGATAACCATACTACTTTGCACAATTGGATTTTTGCTTTGGAGATCTAAATTTAAATGAATAAATAATTGCAGACACTTTAACACAGTCTTGCCAACTGATATATATAATAATACGTTTTGAATAATCGGTCTTTTATTTATTTATGTATTTATTTATTTTATTCCACCTATACTAGAAACTCAACTAAACAAATAACAGTCGAGTTCAATAGGCTCTTAATGCAAAACTAATATTAATTAACAAAAAAAGTGGAGTATAAGCATAATAAAACAAATAAGAAGAAAAAAAAAAAGAAAAAGAAAAAAAAAGCATGTACACTATCAGCATAGGAGCACACTTACAACCGGTACAGGACCAAATTTCAAATGAACCCCTAAGCCATCGCAAACATGCATAAGCCTGGCAACCGATAATAAATTGACAATAATTCACTTTCGAAACGTAACGACTTTTTAAGGATAGAAGCTAGTTTAAATACGACATAGGTAAATCGCACGTATTAAGCAATGTTGCTTTAATGGACTTTAAAGAGTCCGATAACGAGAATAAGTGGTAGACGTCATTTAGGTTCTTGCAAACGACTCCAAGCGGATTGAACAGCTTATAATTAAATTTACACTGATTAAGCTTAACCAAGATAAAGTGCCTGGAGAAGCGGTTAGGGACATTAAAGCTTATTTCACCAAGTAATGAAGGCGAGTCAATAGCACCATTTATTACTTCAATTAGAAAGGAAACGCCAAGAACAAATCTACGTTTCTCTAGACGCGGTAGGGACAGCAGAAGCAACCTATTTTCATACGGAGGAAGAGAGGCAATCGGATCCCAACCCAAATTTCTACGGGCAAACAGCAAGAATTGCTTTTAAACAGATTCAATTGAATCTATGTAGCACCTATATGAAGGAGACAACACAACTGAGGCATACTCGAGTATAGGTCTGACCAAACACATGTGCAGCCTATTCGTAATGTAGGGATCATCAAGCTCTTTGGACCACCTTTTTATAAAACCAAGCGCGGAGCTAGCTTTGCTCAATATGCAAGTTAAAACGTAACCTATGGTCAAATAGAACGCCTAAATCTGTGATCGAATCGACGTCCTCCAACTTATGCGAATCTATGAAATACTGAGAAATGAATGACTTTCTTCTTGAGAATGAAAGCTTCTTACATTTACTCAGATTTAGTTTCAGCAGATTCAAAGAGCACCATGCAACAAAATTATCCAAATCACCTTGAAGCTGATGTGATTGCGATTCAACAGAGAAGGAGGAAAACAGTTTCACATCATCAGCATACATTAAGATCTGGCTGGAATTAACCACCGATGGGAGATCGTTAATGTATAAACTAAATAAAATGGAACCTAAGTGACTTCCTTGAGGTACGCCAGACGTAACGGGGAATTCATCCGAGCTTATGGAGTTAAACAAAACTCTGAAGGATCTATTGTGCAGATAAGAGGTTATCCATTTCACTAAGTAGGGTGGGAAACCAGAGGCTTGGAGTTTAAAGATAAGTAGTCTATGGTTAACCATATCAAATGCTTTGCTTAAATCAGTGTAAATAACATCTGTGCGAGAGCCACTAGAAGAAGCCTTGAAAACATGACAGGTAAACTCTAACAAGTTGGTGACTGTAGATCGCCCTTTCCGAAAGCCGTGCTGGTGCGGAGAAATATACGAATTAATGGCAATGGTCTTAGGAATGAATTTAGACAGAGGCGCTAATTTGCCACACGGTATGCATCACAACGCTACCATATGTCGTCACATCGCTATTATATCTCTATTGTGTGATGGAACAACAATATTTATGTATTTTATGGATAAAGAAAAAATGAACAAGCATATAAAAAATTTATTCAATTTATATAATGTTATCACTAGGCTGTGATAGGCTAAATATATTTAATTTATGCTATGAGTTTATTTTGTTGTCATGATGGCTTTGAAAGGTTATAAATTTTGTCCTTGTGTCCTAAGCAAATTAATATCCTTCCAATTTTGATAATTAATTTGGAATTTTATTTCAATTTCAGGTGCCGGGCCCCAATAGCATCACTCGACTGTATGGAGGAGTTCAGTGGTACGGGAGGTCATCTTGATTTCGGTATCAAATTCTACACTTTTTTCACTTTAATCCTATTTATGTTTGTAAATTATATTTTTGATTTTTATTTTTTTTTATTAATTTTTTTTTTTTTTTTTTTTAATTTAGATGATGTCGGTCTTGTGTTGTTGTATAACATTTTTTTAAATATATTAAAAATTACTATTAGCTTTAAAAAGTTCAATTTCATGCGAATTTCACCCACCACCCTAACTTAGAAAATTTGAACCGATTTTGTTCTACACGCCTAAAAGAGCATTAAAAAATAAAAGAGTCTGTCCGTTGCGGAAGGGAAAAAAATTAAACCAAAAAACTGTTGATAAGGATCGCAAGTGTACTCCATGCGTATCAACAATTTCTGCTCTGAGCTTTACTCAATACAGCTAAAGCAAATGGTGTCCACGTTACCATATATGACGATTGGCAAATATTTTTAAGGAAGAATCACTTTACAGTTATCAACGCTTCGGCCGTATGATGTAAACTTGTCACAATAGTTTTCTTTGTAGGCATTTAGACACTTACTGTGGTTAGAACTTTTTACAAATGCATTGTTTCCCGAATTTTAGGAAAGATTTTAACTCTTTCAATATTCTATTCTATATAGGGTGTCACGAAATTTCCGAAGAGATAATTTTGGCAGAGTTATATATAAATAATATAAAAAATATAAATCGATTTTTGAAAATTTTCTTCACACAGTAATTGAATTTTTTCGTTGGTTTGTATGGCTTATGGAAGAAAAATGATCCAATGAAGCCCACCGCTGTAGATCCGTATCAAGCAGCAACACACACAGGTCGATATATTCGTTCTTTATCAGTCACAAATGGATTTCTGAACCCCAAATAAAAAAATTGTGTCGAGCAACCAAACCCAACAAAATGAAAATGACTGCATAATTCGAATCGTGCGTGAACGATATTTCAAGCAAAGTCCACTCTTTACAAAATGAACCGAATTCTATAATTTTGTTCCCTCTCTGGTCCGTGTACCATTCCCATTGATTGATGCTCTAGGTTTTAGTTTCGCTCACCGCGAGTGGGGTGAGAAGAGGCGATAAAACGAAATTGCTAGAATATTCTCAACTTTTCTACAACTGATCGTATTGAGAACGTACTTCAAATAAAAAACAAATAAGAATATTACAATCGGATAAGGCCGACTTTTAAGTACCCTATATCATTTGACCTGACACAATTCGTCGTATAATTTTATGGTCAACTGTCAAAAACCATACCTTGTTTCGTTGTAAAGGCACGCTTTTTATACCAACCTTTATGTGAGGAATATATCAAAAAATAGATCTACCTGATCCAAATTTTTCAAATCAATTAAAAATGCGGAACTACCAATACTTAGCAATTCTGATCGGGAAATTTCGAAATTTGTAAACTTTTTTCATAGAACGCCATTTTAATATAAGGCTTTATAGGAGGCTTTATGTAGTCGTAGAACTGTTTCTGTCCAATTCATTTTCAATGGTATTTACCTTTGGAATGGTAATGGTATGCGTGCCAGTTTTCGCCACAATGTTTACGAATTGCGATCTACGCACATAAGTATCTCAGCAGACATTAGAGTGTTAGATAGGCGGACAAACTTTAAGTTTTTCAGGAACTGATTTTGAATCAATCGGTATAACAAAATGAGAATCTACTCGCCTGAGTGGCCGACTAGGCAAGAGTCTCGACTAGCAACTCAATGGTCGTGGATTCAAATCTCAAGTGCGGTAGAGTTTTTAATAAAGCCGAAAGCCTTAGATGCTAGTGCTTTAAGACTTTAGTGTTAGAATTTATTCTCTGGCTAAATGTATATTACTCATAATAATAATAAAATGAGAATCTAGTTTAAGTCCTTGTAAGTGTTTAATGCGACCGTCGAAACCTTATAGGTGGACATACCACAAGTGTTGTAGGCTGTGAAAAAATGTAAAAATGTGAATTTTAAAACGATAACTCTTCCCACACCTATGTGTGGGAATAATATGAACACCAGATAATTAACGATCCAAGAAATAATCGACTATTTTACCAAAAGCTGTAAAAGAACTTGTAATGAAAGATACTAAAGAACAGAAGGAAAAAAATAACCGACGTTGCTAGAAAACTTACTATCCGATAAAGTATTACTTTTACTTCGTATATTAAAAAAATAATTTTCGCTAATGTGAACGCAACGAAAATTTTCCTAAATCGCCTAAAGACTATTGCAAACGTGAACTGGACTACGTGACGTTCCGAAATTTTTTTTAGTTTCATCACCTTGCGTTTGCACTTTCGCCACTTTTTCTGCAAATAATAAACACGAGCATATGATTACCTTTCCAAATAGCTGCCTTATAAGCTGAAGCAAACAGCGAAAATCGTATGCAAACATAGGAATCGAGTGAAAATAAAAAATAAAATTAAATAAACAAACGCAAATGACTCGTTGTAGGCGTAGCTCATGGTGGTGGGTAGAAAAAGAAGTGAAAAATATTTTCGCAAGTAGTTATGATTGCTGTTAAATATTATATTGCGTGCTGCGTTTAAAAGTTTGTGTTTGAGCGAAAAATATATCTACATATGTATATGCATGTAATACATCGGCAAATAATTCCCGAGACTACGTAAGAAAAACAACTTGTTTTTCCAAAATTCGATTTTATTCACCAATCTAGTCTCGTTCAGTCCAACTTTTATTTAGCATTTTGATGATCTTTTGATAGAAGAAATTGTCACGATACTCAAAACACACCTCAGTTCTCGCAATGATCGCATCACTTGATCCACTTGACCATTTGATCTCTTTCTCTAAATCATGCTTTTCAGCTTTGCAAATATATAAAATTTGTCAGAGGCCAGATGTAGCCAATACCGTGGCGAGTGCATATTTTTGCGGACGCTGAGAATCAGTAACACGCTGATATTGTTGTTCGACTGTTGAGCAGAAGCGGTTCGTATTTCGAAAACAACTTTCTCAGCCCTAAATGTTCATTGAAAGTAGCGAATACAAGCGTTTTTAATGCTTTGCAGAACGTCAGCTATTTCTTGCAACTGGCCGTTTCAGTTATCGAAAAAGCTTGCCACTTGTTTTTTTTTTTTATGTTTTCTGGTCTCTTGTCGTCAATCAATCTAGCCGCTGTTTGTACGTTCTTCATTTGAAATTAGCCAGCCACCGTTGAGTTGTTGTCTTTGAGAGAAAATAGTTCTCTTAAAGCTTTTCAAGTCAAAGCGTTTAAACGATACTTTTTTTTCGTTATTTTGAAGGTAAAATAAGAACCGTCATTAAACCTACTCTAAGTCGTAGACTAGTGATTAAAATGACATGAGACTTCGATAAAGATCGTTTGAGTGTTACAACTTTCTAAAAATAATATGGCTTTTTTTTTGTTAGACAGCATCGCCATCTATGGTATGTGTCCGTCCCGGGAATTATTGACCAATGTTTTATATGACATTTATATATATAAATATATATACATACTCACGTAAAACCAAGTTAATGATATTTTTTGTAGAAACCCATAAGCGATTAGAAGGTAAAAAAAACTCTTTTTCCAAGCACTATTAACCAAAACACGAAACTATTCCACAAAAAAAAAAAAAACAAAAATCACAATTTCAAATTTATTTTTTATTCTTAAGGTATTTCTTAATATATCAAAGAAAAAAAGCATACAATGTTTGTTCTTGTATTTCTATGTTATGCACGTTTTGAAAACTTTATTCCATAGTTATAAAGGTATAACATATAAAAGTTTAAGACTAAGTTGTTTTTCATTTTTTTTTTTTTTTTAACTCTATGGATAATTAAATTAGGTCGGTCGATAAGCCTCGGCTCGAATCCGGCTTTACCGTTACGCCCAGGTTCTACACCAACACCAGGGTTACGCTACAAGAATCTGGGCAAAAGTGGTTTGCGAGTTAGCAATGTAGGTTTGGGCACATGGCCGGTATTCTCACCAGGTGTTAGCGACGATCAGGCTGAAGCCATTCTTAAATTGGCGATTGAAAGTGGTATCAATTTGTTCGATATATCGGAGGCTCATTCGGAAACGGAAATTGGCAAAATTCTCCAAAGGACTGGTTGGAAACGTACCGCTTATGTCATAACCACAAAAGTCTATTGGAGTACCAAGTGATTATCAAAAAAAAAAAAAAATAAATAAATAAATAAATTAAAAAAATAAAAAAAAACAAAATGAATTAATATTTTTAAAAACTGTAAATGTATAAACTTTTTCCAATATCGTAGATCCGAAGAACGTGGCCTTTCACGCAAACACATAATCGAATGTGTTAAGGCGAGCTTACAACGTCTACAACTACAATATATTGATATTGTTATCATACATAAAGCGGACGCTATGTGTCCTATGGAAGGTTAGTTGTTTCGTTCATTTCGTCATTTCAATGGTGTCCCTTTTTATACATGGATTTCAAATAATTTTGCTTAGAAATTGTACGTGCCATGAATTATATTATACAACAAGGTTGGGCCATGTACTGGGGTACAGCTCGTTGGTCTCAGGTGGAAATTATGGAAGCCTACACAAACTGCCGTCAGTTTAACTGTATAACGCCCATTGTTGAGCAATCGGAATATCATATGTTCTGTCGCGAAAAATGTGAACTTTATCTGCCAGAAATGTATAATAAAATTGGTGTCGGCTTAATGGCTTGGGGTCCATTATCAATGGCTTTGAGTGATGCACAAAATGGTGAAAAAATTTTTTTACCTAAAGGTTCATTTAAAACTAAAAGTCAAAGTTATTCTTGGACCGAAGATGAGATCAATAAAAATGTAAACTTTGAGAAGAAATCGAAATTTGCAAAAAAAATTTTATTTCCAAAAACAATTTCAGGCTGCTTTGTCGCCTCAGGGCAGTTGGAGCAAGGAACGTTTGGAAGAAGGCCGTCGGCATTCAGATCGTTTAAGAGATTTGGCTGCTTTGGCCGAAAAGTTGGGATGTACTCCCACGCAGTTGTCGATAGCTTGGTCTTTGAAACACGAACCTGTTCAATGCTTACTTTTAGGCGCAACTTCAGCCGAACAATTACACCAAAGCTTGCAATCGCTTCAGGTATATGTTAGACATTATTATATAATTTTCTTAATAAAAAAATATTGAAATTTTTGCCTCAGTTACTGCCACGTCTCTCGACCAGTGTAATGTTAGAGGTGGAAAGAATTTTAGAGAATAAACCGGTGAGACCGCCAATGATATCAACGTTAGCACTTCGGTGACAATCAGCTTGCCCTCAGGGGCCCCCCAGCCTAACTGGCGGTGTTGTTGTCGGTGGCGGCAGTGGCTTGGGCACCTGTGGGGCAGAATCTCCCAAAAACGAAGAAGAAGCAGCGTTTTGCGGCGAAGAAGCCGATGCAAAGGATGCCTCAAAGCAGGGATTTTGTGTTATTCAGTGACGAAAGGAGTCCTTAGATAACGATAATAAATTTACTAAAGCGATTAGTAGTAAAACTAGTTTAAGTAGTACAACAATGACAACAACAATAAGTAAACATGATTTATTATGGCAACAACAGCAGCAGCAACGTCTTTCTCAACAATTTATTAATAATAGTTTAGATAACGCAACAATAACAACATCAATAATCCCAATAACAACAACAAAAGCAAATCGTTTAGATAGTAATGTAACAATAACATCGATAGTAACCACAGCGACTACAACTCTAACAACTAACAACACTATACCTATTGATTCTTTAAATAATAATAATTTAGACGATATCGGTCTTAGTATTAATAATAATAACATTATCAACACCTCTAATACGATGATAGCTGATGCAACTGGTATATCATCGCAAAATCAACCGAAATTGCAAAAAAAAAAATCTTTGTTGAATTTCAAATCTTTGGATTTTCACTTGAAATCTTTGTATACGGGTCTAAAGAATGGAACCAGCAATATAACGCAGAAAAGCTCACAATCGCAGTCATCAACTTTAAATTCCAGCAACACCAACGATAGTCATATTAATGTAAATGAACAAGATGGACGTACACCACAGCATCAGCCGTTTAACCGTATGCCGCCATATTTGAAAATTGACATTGTAGACAATGAGGAGGCAGAAAATTTATTAATCGATTATCCAAAATCGCCCTATTCATCACGACGCAATAGTTCACACGATGATCATCGTTCCAGTTCTCAGCTAATACATCTGGCCGACTCGCAGCACCTACGACAGCCATACGATGTAACGCGTTCCCCGTCACCCTATTTTCTGTCACCGCATATTTTCGAGCAGAATATAAGACGTTCCTCTACATCGGATATAATGACGGGTGGTGGTGGTGGTGGTGGTGGTGCTGGCAAACGTAGCCCAGCGTCAAGTGTTAATGCCAGTCGGCGACCCAGCACTTCGGATTTACTGCGTAGGGCACGTGAAAGACGTGGCAGTGAGCAACGCATGGGACGCAGTGTTTCCCATAGTGGTTTACCACGTGGTGGTGGTATGGGCTATCGTCCCGCCTCCAATTTAGGCGGCCGACGCACTAGCATGGCCTTTTAGATTCACTTTTATTAGAAAATTTTTAAAAATATAATTAAAACTTGGAAAAAATATCTCTCTTTTTAGAGCATTAGAAAAATATTACAAAAATTAAAGCATTGTACTACCAAACAATCAACAACAAACAAAAACTTTCAAGTGCTTATGATTAGTTTTTCTATTAAAATAATAATAATAATAAATTTATAAAAAAAAAATATTTAAACTTATTAGAATAATTACAAAAAATTAAAAATCCTTTTAAGCTTTAAATTTATTATAACAAAATAACATTAAAAACAAAAAAAAAATTTGTAGTTATCTAAGAAAATAAACTTGAAAAAAAAAAAAAAAAAAAAAAAAAAAAAAAAATTTAAAATTAAAACATGATTGCAAAAAAAAAAAAAAAAAGAAAAAATACTTTTGAAAAGTTTTTGAGAACTTTTTCATATTAGAAACCAAAAGCGATAACAAATTTCAAATGAAGAGGGAGAACTATACTTAATAACAACAACAACTTTAATTGATCCTCTGGCTCTCAAAATCCTTACCTAACCTAAACAGCCGCTTTAAGAATAAATAAGATTTTCAAGTACTCTGGAAAGCAGAAACCAAACTCAAATTCTATTCTATAACAGTATATACAACAAAAGAAAGTTAATGTGAAAATTTGATAACGTTTGATTACATTGGATTTTAGGTGAGAATATAGGCATTATATGTACATGAAATGTTGTCGTTCCCTTTAATTCGTTTTTTAGTTAAGAACGCATGACAAAAAAAAGAATATTATATAAAATAATTTATAAAAATTTGTTAAAAATCGAATAATAACAATAAGAATAATAATAACAAGAACAAGAAGAAGAACAAATCAAAATGCCAGTAATTTAAGAAAAACCAAACATTCAAAACTTGCCTTGTTTCTAATTTAAAATAATAACAATAATAACGATGCGAATAATAAAAAAAAAATTAAAAAATAAAAAAAAAAAAAATTTTAAATGATTGATATTTCAAGTACAGAACATTTTAAACATTTAAGTGAAAATTAGAAAAATTATTAGCTAAATTATATTTAAAAAAAAATAATGCATTAACTCAACAAATATTAATAATAATAATAATAAATAATAATAATAATATTAAAGCGCATGATTAGTTTAGCAAAATTTTAAAGTAAAACATCATCTCCTTAAATATTCAAAAAAAAAATAAATAAATAAAATATATATATATATATATATATATATATATATATAAAAAAGATTTATTAAATAAAGTAATAAAATATTTCTCACATACGGACTGTGATTTCATGTAAAATAGAACAACAAAAAAAAAACTACTTTAACTTAATCATAGAAATAAACAAAAAATTTAGTACAGAATTAAAATATTTACTATTAATTATATGATTAAATGAATACCATACAAAAACAATTTCCTAAATAAAAACACTACAGATCACTATTGAATAATATTATATATAAGCGAAAAAGCAAACACTATATTCCTTTTAAAGCGAATCTTGACTAATATCTATCATCCTTCAAACTTGACTATTCCCTTTAAGATTGATTGTGAAGAGATGAAAAAATGCAAAAGGAAGCTTAAGTCAAAAATAGGCTTGATGTTATTTTCACGCCTCCTAACCCAAGGCTCTTTTGCGAAGAGAAACAGTGATAAGGTAGAAAAAGATGAGCATCATTCACGGAATCAAGGACTTATTATCGATGCAGGCAAAATTTACAAAAATTCAAAAGCGGGTTCGAATGATTGCTGATTTTATTGACTTCTGATTTTGGTACTCATTGCACTATTATCGATAGATCAAATTTGATTTATTGAAGAAAAGAGGGCAAGCATAACTTAACGCTAGGTTTCAATCTATATGATTTTTTGGTTTACAACCGATTGCTCTTACCAAAAATCCATACAATATTCGATTTGTTTGTTTTTTTTTTTTTTTTGATACCATGAACATATACCAACAAACATATTCTTTTTGTGAAAAGATTTGCATCGAGCAGGAGGAGGAAGCTTCAGAGATCCCGCGAAGTAAGCACAATTTTGATCAGCATCAAATTCTGAATCCTGTTAAACGTGCCCGTCTGTCCGGTTGTTGATTCGTTACTCATAAAGCACAACACACATACACACCATAACAATTTCCACTCTTATCCTAAAAATAGAAAAAATGGTTCGCGTATGAAAATTTACATCTTACAATAACGGTAATGACTCATAATCGTATATAATTTCCCAAATGGGACTCCCAAGTCAGAGTTCAGATGGTTCAACTCTCTTAAGTCCGATAGAGTTTTCTTTGGTCGTAGCTCTAACGAGTGCTCAAACAAGAGAGACATAATCCTTATCGACGAGGCATACACGCACTAAGCTGCGGCCACCGCCCACCACGCTCACCCTACTTATTTCTTTCCTTTTCTTCTCTTTTTCTGACAGGCACCATGTTCCCTCTGATTTAACTTGATTTATAAACTTGTCTATTTCTATTACCAATATATTAATAATGGGAAATCAGCCGCATTTCGATTTGCTACAAAACGATTCTTTTCATTAAATGCCCAGCTCGTTCATGCGTATATTTCTATTAATGCATTGTTATTAAGCAAGTAAACACGCTACATTGGATCACGGCGCAACATTAGATTACCTACACAACCTTGCCGTTATTCATAAAACGACTGTTCAAAGGAAAGTGGCACATGGGGAATAATCGGAAAAATGGTTCGGTACGAATCATTTTCAATAGCGTTCTTCCTTGGGTCAATATACGTCTGTGTACCAAATTTTATAAAAATGAAACAAGAAGAAAATAACACAGCCAGACGGATGGATGGACATACAAATTTAAATCGATTCAGAAAATGATTCTGAATCTCAAGTCCTCACACAAATTGAATAAACCTTTATATCGCCCCCATTATAGAGTATAATAAGTAAAAAAAGGAAAATTTTGTATCAAATCGTAGTCGGATGAACTTTATTATTAACGAAGCTATGCAAGAATAGATTACTACTTAGAATCGTATAATGAGCAATTCTGATCAATGCTTATTTAATTCAACATTTCTTCACATTTCTTTCACCTCCTAGTAGGTATTAAAAAGTGATTAATATTAATAAAGAAAATATTGTTCATTAACATCTGTAGCTTGTTTGAATCGTAATTTAAAATCAGCTTTAAAAAAATATTTTAAAACTTCCAATTTGTTTTTTTCCAATTCTCATGATGGATATAAAAAATTCGTTTTAAAGTGAATATAAAATTTTCCAAGTAATCCAATACAATTTATTTCATTTAAAATGATAATATAACAATCATTTATTCGTACTAACACACCGTCCTAATAATAATATATATCGCAAAAATCTTTACAATATAGAATAAAAAAGGTTTTCGCAAATGATTTTTATAATAATCGTTAAGAAGACATTATTTCGAAAATTGTGAAAATTATTCGAAATCATTTAAATAAAATTTTATTGATTTCTTTACTTAGCTATATAAACTTCTCATCGAAATATAGGCGAATAAATCATAATTTACATTTTAAGCAGAACGAAGAGATAAATAACAATTATATAAATTGGTTCCGCCAGTAGCGCAAAGCAAGAGTAAAATGTTTGCACGCCCTTTATGGGTCGTCTCTCATACACTCATGCCTATGCGCAAAAAAAATTTAATGGTACATTTACTATACCCCCTGTGGTGGGTGTAAGAGATAACAAAAAATTAGAAAGCAGTCGGTATCCAAAGATTCGGATTAAGCCAAACATTATTCTTTTTCTTTTATTTTCATTTATTTACTTAATAATTTTTTAATAACATTGATTCCTTACTTCTGTACTTAATAACGGAAAATAGTGTTGTTGTCCAGAAAAAGTACAAAAAGTTTCAGCGTTTTTGAGCATTGTTTGTCATATATTCTCTTAGACTGTTTATATATAAATTTTTGTTTTTTATGTACATTTCACCAAAAGACAACAAATATGCTATTATTATTATTATTATTATTATTATTATTATTATAAGATAAATTCATTGTTACCGTTTTCTTAAGTAAGTAATGAAAAATTATTAACATTAATCTCTAATATTTAAGCAACATTTAAAAGGTAGAAGCAGGAAAGGTCCATGAAAAAGCTTCGAAAGGCTATCGGTTATGGTTTTTTCACATTAAACTAAATTAAATGAATTAAATCGATTTGAGAAACGTGCTTCATTTAAGTGCACAGTGCTTCGTAACGTGCACACCCAACACTTAAGTGCAGTGGGATAAATCGCATAATTTTAATTGGAGTCTAATATTTATACGGCTTCAGCAACATGCTAATACGAACTTCTTGTAATTGATTGAGATTATTGATAGAAATGTAGAAAAACTTCAGTTATTTGATTATTGTCCACATACTTGAAGACTGCGTAACTGCCTGCGTAACTGCTTGCGTAACTCAAACAAAAATATCTATCGAATACTGATTTCAATAATTCGATCTTTTCCTCACCAGTGCGACATGGCACGACAGCGACAGCTATCCTTCGTTAACAACAAGATCTCATTCCTTTAACAACCAGCGGTGCTTTTATTAGCCAAAGTTAATCTCTGTAGATATATTTACACTTCCTGTACGACTTGGAGAAGCTGACTTGCCAAAATATTATTGCCATTTTTGTCCACAAAAGGATGAAGTGATCCAAAGAACAATACTCCATTGAGAAGAATGCTTGAGATGAAAATTTCTGGCTTTCTTCATATATATATGTGTGCAGTGTCAAAAAGAATTCAAATATTATACATATTACGTTGAAGGCTTTTGCAAAAAAAAAAAACATCACAAAGTGGTCGCGAAAATGAGTCTTAAAAAAAAGCATAATTGAGAAGAAACTCGCTCATTTAAAGCCACAGCATTCTCTTTGCAAATTCTGAATCATAACTATAAAGCCTATGTGCCGGTTCCAATTTTTCAAAAAGTTTCAAAACTTTCGCCTAAACTTAAATTGCAGGAAAAACCAGACAAAATGGCGACGCCATATCCGAAGTTTTTATATGGGGAATTCGAGGATATGGGGTAAG